TTCAAGACAGAAAACTTCCAAAGTCACTTGTGGGACCATGTACCCACTCTGGCCTGGCTACCTCAAGCTCAGAATTGTCCCATGGCTGAAGTCACTTGGAACTAAAACAACCAAACAGACTTAGCAGTCTGGCCGTGAGCCCTGGCTGCCAAAGATTGAGCAATGGTGGCTTCCTTATAAGCTTTGCTTTCTAATAAAATTCGCATCCACATTTTTAAGCAAGCTATAACACTGAGAGGGTAGGACTTGACCAAAAAATGGAAAAGCATGGAAACAGGACCAGGAATTCAGCTGATGAGACTAATTCAAATGAAAATTGCACGGAGGCATTGGAAAGCTATCTGAGAAGGCTTTAAGGTAAGATTTGGAAAGGAGTTTACGAGCAAAATGATTTTCAAGATGCTGCTGATTTAGAAATGGAAAATTAGCAAAATGTGCTTTAGAGATCTGGAGAACTTGGCTTACATCACTGACAGATGATAGACTGGACTCCCACTTGGACAGTATTGGTCTAGTCTGTTCTACTCAAGTAAGAACTAGTAACCTAAGGCTGTGAGGGGTTGCATGTGGATCCTTTAGTCCTAGTGGAACAGACAGGAGTCCGAGAGGCAGTGCCGAAAGGCACTCTGACCTTTAAGTCTGTTCTGCCACTAATTTATAGTGATCTTGAGAACATCACTTCTTCTCCACGGGGGAGAAAAACCAATCAGTGATCTTTGCTCTAGTAATACTTCTTGATGGGAACTCCCAGAAACTTATCCAAGATAATTAAAGAGGAAATTAGGTGGTAATTAAATGACTCAGGGCCATGTATAGTAAAGAGTTAGGCTTCTTTATGCTTCTTTCTGTACGCCAACTTTCCCTACCCCCTAGTCCCTGTCCCTCTAGTTGAATAATTTCAGCCCATTACCTAAACCATCTGAACACCAAGTCTAAGGTCATAGAATTGAGCTGCTTGCAAAGGCACTGGGATTTCAGTTCTTTCATGAGTGCAAGGGGAGAAGGGAATGATGATACTCACTCAAAATTGCAGTATCATGGGCTTTGTTCTAACTGAGCAGCAAGGTCAAGAAACTGTCACTCGAATCCAAAGGAAAGTAATCAATGGCGTGCACAAGGCTGGGGTACTTCGTATCTCCCTTTCTGAGTTTTGCTGGCTGTCTATATTATAATCGATGCTTATTAGGATAAGGATCATCCCCATCGATCAAGTGCTCACCTGGTGTCGAGAGCATGGTGAGCGAAGAAGCTTATCTGGAGGGACAGTTTCACATCAAATATATGCAGGAGTCAAGAAGGACCCACAGGAGGTTGTGATATAGATATATATTTAATATAACGTATGTGATCATGGTTACAGATACATATATGGTGCTTTATTTATCAAGAAGTGTGAGTCACATAGTACACAACATATTGGATACACAATCAGAAGATAAACACGATTGTTTCTAAATGAAAAACTTATGGGATAAATGCTGACAGATGCGTTTCCAGCCTCTCATTTCTCCTCCCATTTCTCTGTCTGTAAGCTCCAGCATTTTTAAAAAACTCAGTTCTCCCAAACCCTCATACTATATGATATGTTTAAAAAAAAACTTATAGCAAAAAATGATCCAGATAACATCCCTCCATTGGAAAATTTCTCAGCATATCCCGTTGCGCACATATTTTCTTAGACAGGAAATTAAATGCTTTTAATGTATCTGTTATTACATAACTATGGTTACACACACCTATTTTAAGTGTTTCCTCTTACAGGAGGGAAGAACAGAAAGGAGGTATAGGTGTGAGGTGGGGAGGGAAAATACCTCAGGAGACAACTAAAGAGGCTTCTTAAACTGGATTTGAGTAAGTTTGATGTGTCACTTCTCTACTAGAAAAATCAGATGAAAAGATTATGATTGTTATTAAACTGTGAGGTGAGGATAATATTCCAAAGGTTATTTTTCTCCCTTCGCTTTCTTCTCTGGGTCTCCATTCAAAGCTACAAATGTCTCATCAGTTGGAAAAATCTTTTCAGCTCCAGGATGGTTCATGGAGGCTGGGGAAAGCCTTTCTTTGGGTATCAAATACTCTGGTCTACCAGATGCTCTATTTGCATGAAAGTATGTTTAACACAAGTAGCAGTTGAGCCTCCTCCCAAAAAAGTGTTACGTACATACTTGTCTCATAGAATGAAGAGACCAGAAAGCCAGAGATGTCTAATGACAATTCAGTCAGGATACACTGAGATGCATGAAGACCTCACGTCCAGAACCTACATAGAGTTGCCTAGCTCTTGGGTTTAGACGTTTGGATGTTAGAAACTCAGTTCTTCATTCTCTGCTTCCCGGCACAGGTGAGCCAAGTGGGGACAGCAGATCCACCATATTGATTCTTCCCTCTAATTAAGACTGCCTAGGGGTTTTATTCTTTTTTAATTTCTAATGTTTGTTTATCTTAGAGAGGAAAGACAGAGAGAGAGAGCGAGCAAGCAAATAGAAGGCCAGAAAGAGAGGGAGACATAGAATCCAAAGCAGGCTCCAGGCTCTGAGCTGTCAGCACAGAGCCCAATGTGGGGCTCAAACCCATGAACCATGAGTTCATGAACTGAACCGAAGTCACATGCTCAACTGACTGAGCCACCCAGGTGCCCTGTGAGACTCCCTAGGATTTTAAAAGGAAGTTTCTCATCAAGCTGCACTGTGAGTCAAGAAATGTCTTTCTGCAAATCGTGGTGATGACAGAAAGAAGTGGTTTGGTTTTCAGTCAAGGGGAACTGTTCTTAAGTGTTTCCTAGGAAATGGATTAACTTTATAGGTCTGACCACTTATTTCTTCACCGTGTCCCTTTCTCCTCTCCCCCCCACCCCGCCTTTTTTTTTTCCCCTCTGAAGCCTTTATCTCCCAGACTTGCTAAATTCCCAGGAAACAGAGGAAATTTTCAGACTGCTGGAGGGAATGATTTCAGGGATAAAAATCATTTCCCTGAAACAGAGAATTTCCCTTTAAATACTTTTCATTATCTAATCTGTGATGGGGCAGATAATTGGACAAAACCCTAGCATGGAATTATTATTAGGGGATCAGTTGATTTGCTGATGATCAAGTTTTTATGGAAACTTCAAAACAGTTGCTACTCATTGGGAAGCAACTGATACCCGCATCCTACTGAAATGGAATCTAGAGAGAGAACACACCAACCAAGCAAATCTTTGTCTTTGTAGAGGATAAAAATAAAAACAGTTTCCTCCACCAAGTTTTTCTCATCATGCACGAAAAACTCATGGGGGTGGGCACAAGATGTTTCCATACAATTGATGCTATTGATGTGAAAGCAAAGTGATTGTACTGTCTCCCTTCTGCATTTCAAAAGGTCAAGATGGGAGGAGGGAAGGGTGTGTGTGTGTGTGTGTGTGTGTGTGTGTGTGCGCGTATGGGGTTGTTCATGTGAACAAATACTGCTTTAGCAGATAAACACAGCCTCTTAAGTTCTTCTATCTCTATCCACATCTGTCTTTTTATTCTGGTCCGGTTGGGACCCTAATCTGATGCCAACTCCAAACCGTATCAAACCCAGGCAGAAAAAGTTAGGTTGCGGGCTATTTCCCGGCCTAATCTTAGGTCTCCTTCAAGAAGGAGAAGCATATGTGCCTCTTCGCCTTGACCACAATTTGGTTCCACTACCTCTCTTCATCCCAGATCACTTACGACTGAAGTCACATTTTCACAAGGGAGAAAAACAAGCCCCACAGGACTCTTGCATTAAGTTTCACTCTTTCCCAACAATTTACTCAAGAGACAAGTGGGGAGAATGGGGCATGAGGGGGAGGGAGTGGTAAATAGACATTACACAGGTTTTTTTTCCTGGAAAGATCATCCCAGTTTTTCTAAGTTCCCAGAATTAAAAGAATGTTATTTTCTTTGTGTTACCGTGGAAACTTCCAGTAACACTGTGCATTGTTTTTTTCTTTTGTCCAAGTTTAAAAACACTTTTAAAAGATTTCACAGAACTTTTTTAGGGAAATTTTGATATGTTTGTTTTTCTCATTTTGGGCTGTGATACTTATATTCCTCTGAATTTCTTCATTTCATATGTTAGAATAGTTTCTAATGTGTGCCTATGCTACTTTAAATTTAGACTCGAGGGGTCATCATTTGGCTGGGAAGCATTCATTTTCACTTTCCTTCACAACCCTGCCCTCAGGGTGCTTCCCCCCCCACTCCCCCCCCTCCTGAGTTCAGTCTATGAAAAGGTGAAGGGCCATCCCTTTCAGTCCACTGACAAGTCCTCCCCACCGCCATAGGGCATGCGGTTTGTGAGTCCAGTCGATCTGGGTCTGTGAGATATCAACCACCTGGGTGAGCTCTGTAACATCTCGTAAATTCTCTGAGAGCTTTCAAACAGTTGGCTATTCAAAGAATGTGAATCAGAACTTTTGAATTTTTAACTCAACGAACATTTTTCTGAAAAATATTTTGGCATTCAAGGACAACAACACACCTAGATCCTGGAGTTCTTACCGTTTCTAGCTGCATGAGAAAGTAAAGGGCTGGAGATTGTATACTGATCTGGACAGGGTAGACGGATGCTGAGGAAGGTGGGGCGAGGAATTTGTGATCTGAGTCTCCTGTCCCTCCCACACAAATGTACGTGGAGAAGCCTTCTCCACGCTCACGGTGGTGATCTGGCCTAGCTATCGACTGCTTATGACCAATTTCTCTGAAGCAAGCAATATTTACACCTATGGATGGATTCTTACCACACTGGCAACAGCGGACCTACTCACTCCAACCCACTTTCAGAATGTGAAATAGCTAGTATTCAAAAGAGCGTGGTATCCTTTGAAATAGCAAAAATAGAGAAAAGCCAACAAAAATAGCCAGTGTTTGCCTGAAGGAAATGGTAACAAGCTTCACCTTCAATATTCTCAGGAAGTACGTGAATACATGGGCTACAAATGTGGAAAACGAGGAGTGTGTAGAGGAGGGAGGGAAATAAAAGGAGGAAATACAAGATTAAACAATGTAATCTTCTCCTGAAACATTTCAGGATTTTTATTCATCCTTAACAAGTTCTTTTAAAATTAACTCAACATCATCCTTTCGGTCAGCCTCATACATAGGTTAGCTTGATTCTCCTCATCACTAAATTAGGTAAGTCATTACTTAGTCAAATCTATTAAAGATAAGAAAAATAATCTAGCGAGACTTATAATAATGAAAGACGGAATTAAAAGTCTAAAACTACTAAGAAATACCATGGCCTGTCAATCATCTGTGCGCAAGCCATGGTAGGATATAAATGTGTGCTTTGAAGATAAGTACAATCCACTAACATGGGTAGCAAAACAGGGAGGGAAGACGGAGTTGCTAAAAAATCAAATTATTTTGCAGAATATGGGGTCCTTTGGGACGCCACCTCAGAAAGCCTCCACGTGCCATCAAATTATTTTTCCTAAAGATAATTTGGTATTTTGAAGATAATCGCCATTCCCTACACAGGCAGATGGCATCATAGGGTAATTAACCACTGTAGGCTCGACAAAATTTTCCCATTTTAGTGTACAGCTCTCCAGAACTGAGTTAAGAGAAATTGCACTGGACAGCATCTGTTTTAATTTACATGAGTGGAGTTCCAAATTTTGGAATTTTCTACTCACAGGGACTGAAAATAATTTGAAAATTGAAACATTGGGCCTACATACTAGATGCATACATACATTTATTAAATACTCCATTGTCAGGTCGTTGACTTAAAATAGAGTTTGGTAACTTAGTGGGGGGAATGAGTTAGGTATAAGGAAAGAATCAGTATGGATTATGTTCAGATTGATTTTGTGTACACATATTTATGGTTCTATCTTTGGTTAATGATCTCCAGCCAGCATGAAGATACTCTAAACGGAAGACTGATATTTTAAATAATGTATTTGCTTAAAAATCAAATAATGGCTGCCTCATAAAATTCTTATCACCTTTTACCACCTAAGGTCAGAGAAGGAGAGGTAATTCTGCCTGCATCAGAATGAACACAACAAATGGGACTGATGGATCTCACTTGATATTGATCTTTCTTCATCCACCTTCTTTTTCAGACCAGTCTGGGTAGATGGAGATCCATTACCTAAACCAAATGGGCCCACATTCTAGGTATCATATAGTTATCTTACGTTTCTTTGCCATAAGCAGAATTTTTCTGTGATTATGATTCGCTTTGATGACAATATACTCAATGGGGCAGGAAGAAGAAAATGGGAGAGGCAGGCATTCAGACACTAGATAAACATCCAAAATACGGAGCACAAAAAGAGTGAGCAAACACTCACAAAAATTCCTGGGATTTTTCCCTGTTTGGGTATCTTTGAACGAAGCCGCTACGGGAAGCTAAGTAGATTGCCGGAAAATGCAGGGTTATTATGGAGGCAATAACTCACTGGACGATCCTCACAGACCAACTAAATCACTACTTGATTAATTCCTGATAAAACTCAGAGCGCACAAAGCGAGGCAGTGAATCCTTTTCCATCAGGGCGTAGATTCTTTTCTGGGCCACATCGAAGCTGCTTGGCGATGGTTCCACCAGGTTCTTCATTGTGATGTCCTTTGTGAAGTGGTCAATATTCACCTGCGGGCCAGCGAACAGGGTCACGAGTCAGCCCAGGTGGCATAGTTGGATGGCGGTGGGTGGCGGCGGGGAGGGATGAGGAATTGGTCACCAATAAAAGACATGAGGGGAAGAGGGTCATAAAAAGTGAGAAGAAACATCATTTCTGTTTTATGGGCAGTGGGGTAAAGCAAGAGATACTCCAAACAAATGCATGAGTCAGAGTAAGATCCAAACAACGCTAGGAAGTGTGTCAGAATTCCAGCAGCAGCTAATACGCACTTACCACTTTTAATCCTCACAAGAACCCTAAGAATATATATATAAAGCTTAAGTGGCTTTCTCAAGGGCACAGAGCTAAGACGTGTATATGGATCAGAGATTTAGAATTTGAATCCTGGTGTCCTCCTGTCTAATCCCTCAGCCTTCCTTCGCCTGCATGTGCTTTCACGCCTGATGGAGAGAGGGAAGAGGAGAAAGAAATTCCGACCCGGATCTTTTTCATGGATCTGGAAGAGCAAGGAAATTCGGTCTTTCCCGAAACAAACCAGGCAAGAGTGGCTTTGAGAGACTGATGATAAGAATAGCAGCTGATGTTTACTGAGCTCTTTGTCTGCACAGGCTCCTTGCCGGGAACGCTAGTTTTATGGGCTCTGTGCCGATGCACCCATTTCAGCTCATGACTCTGAGGGGGCCGCCGACATCTCCGCCTTGCAACCGAGGAACAAATGTGAGGGATTTGCTCAAGGTCATAAGTGGTAGAGAGAAGATTACAAAGCCTAGCAGTGTAGCTTTTAACCAGTAGACTGCAGCGTTGGAAGGCGTGGTGGCTTTATGTCCTGAACGCACGGCCATCACACTGCACACATCCTGGGGGGACCATTCATATTAGGTCCAGGTAGATGGTCCCCTGGAGTTGTGCAGTGCACAGCCCTGCACAGGCATGCCCGAGTGTGATTTGAGAGGAATCACCATTCATCATCTCGATGCTTTCAGGACTCTTAAGCTATCTGAATATTGGAAAATGTTCTAGATCTCTCCTGGGCTGCTAGAGGTCCTCGGCACTGAGGAAACCTCTCAGAGGTTATGGCCGTGGCTGCATGTGGAGTCCGGGACGAAAGCCTGGGTGGAGAGCGCCCACGATGGGTGGGACCGGGAGCGTGAGCTGTGCTCCAAGCTCCAAGATAAAGGGAGTTGACATTGGGGTAAGACTTTCCATGGTGGGAGGGGCTGGAGTGCTTTCTGCAGGCGGAAGTGACACAGAGCAGCCTCAGCGCTGAGGTCCAGGACCTGCCTCTGCGTGTCAGGACTCCAGGCCGGAGTCAAGTTACATGCTCACGAATGCTCCAGAGGGACAGGATGGAGGCGAGGCTGTGATGTGTACTTCTCTGTTCCCAGTCTTTCTCTTTTTTTAAATTAAAAAAATGTTTATTTACTTATTTTGTGTGTGTGTGAGAGAGAGAAAGAGAGATCAGGAAAAGGGCAGAGAGAGAGAGAGAGAGAGAGAGAGAGAATCCCAAGCAGGCTCTACACTGTCAGCATGCAGGCTGATGCAGGGCTCAAACCCACGAACCGTGAGATCATGACCTGAGCCAAAATCAAGAGTCCCGTGCTTTTTTTTTTTTTTTTATATGTTTATTTATTTTTTGAGAGAGAGTGTGAACAGGGGAGGGACAGAGAGAGGGAGACACAGAATCCGCAGCAGGCTCCAGGCTCTGACTGGTTAGCACGGAGCCCAAAACAAGGGCTCGAACTCCCAAACTGAGAGATCATAACCTGAGCGGAAGTCAGAGGCTTCACTGACTTGAGACACCCAGGCGCCCCTCCCTTTATTCTTCCTGCCACACTAAAGCAATGCTTTTTCCTCTCTTACACTGAATATATACTGAGCTAGGTAGGCAATCTTACACAGAATGGTTCAATTTCAAAAAAGTATAAGACTCTCTCCTAATCTTAATGTGTAAAAGAAGGGATGACTTTACTTCCCTTTCAGACACTGTATCCAGCAACTAATAGCCTCTATTGATTTATTACTTTTATGCGCATAGACCCCCTCTAATGAATCATTTTGATACATACTCATGTGTTTGCTGAGCCAGGAAAATATTATTGCATTAATTAGGTATGGTCACATGACAATCTGCAATATACAAATCACGTACGTATTCCACTCTGTGCAGCCATTTATTTCTCTTTTTAAAATCTTACTTCCAATTCTTACCACTGTGTTCCTTACCACTCAGTCCCTGCTGTGAAAAGGCTGAGCTGAATATTCAGAGAAAGAAAATTTAAATTGCTGTTTGACTGGGTAAGTGTGTTATGTGGGTCAATCTGCTACTCATCAGAACAAATGAGTACACAATTTTAGGGAAAAATACAAGACTTGGAGAATTTTTAAAGTATTAATACCTGCAGTTTTAAACATACTCAAGGTAGGGGTGCCTGGGTGGCTCAGTCGGTTAAGCGTCCAAGTCATGATTTAGGCTCAGGTCATGATCTCACAGTTTGAGGGATGGAGCCCCGAGTCAGGCTCTGCGCTGACAGCACGACGCCTGCTTGAGATTCTCTCTCTCCCTTTCTCTCTGCTCCTCCCCACCCCACCAAATAAATAAATAAACATTTAAACATACTCTAGATTCACACACATAGATAAATGTTACAGTGAAGGGGACCGAGGATGGAGAACCTGTCCAAAGTCACACAAGGAGGAAGCCCTGGAATTGGAATGTCTGCCTCCGTTCACCTCACAAATGTTTGCTGAGCACTTGTCATGAGCCCGGAGCAGGGTCCCATCCTCCCTGACGCGTGGCCAGACATCGGTGACAGCACTCACCCGCCTCCCCATCAAGGCCTACCTCTTTCGGAGCCTCTGTTTGGATGAATTCTTCATAAATTTTCTTTGCCTTCTCCGCCATCTTGGCAGGGGACTTGATCTTCCTGTATTCCTCACAGGCCAGCCAGAACTCCAGGTTTTCCTCACTGAATTCAGACTTCAGGAAACTTTTGAAGCCGGCAAGCCCATCTAGTGAGGGAAAAGTTTGGTTGGATGGATGAGTACACACATACTACATAATTACATGCATTTTGAGCAAGTTTATCTAAAATAGATGACAAATGTATTATAAATCTGCTTGCCTGTTTACTAACACTATAGTAAAATAAAATATATATTTTAAAAAACCCTGCTGTATAGCCTGGATTTATTTACTGCATATTTCTGTCACTTTTGTAAGAACCTTACAAATATTAACTCTCTCTTATTTACTCCCCTTATAAACCATGAGGCAGGTGCTGATCATGCATATTTTACAAATGACATAAAACAGATCAAGGGGTGCCTGGGTGGCTCAGTCCGTTAAGCGTCCGTCTTCAGCTCAGGTCATGATCTCATGGTTTGTGAGTTCGAGCCCCGCGTTGGGCTTCGTGCTGACAGTTCTGAGCCTGGAGCCTGCTTTGTATTCTGTGTCTCCCTCTCTCCCTGCCCTTCCCCCACTCATGCTCTGTCTCTCTCTCTCTCTCAAGAATAAATAAACATTTGAAAAAATTAAAAATAAAAGAGAGAGCAAGGGGCAGAGCCAGGATTCAAATCCAGGCAGTCTGTGTTTGGTGAGAGCATCTAGGAATGCTATGAACACTAACACCATTCTTATCAATCACCAAAAAGAAAAAGATACATTTGGAACTTGACTTCCCAGTGTAATAGTGCTGTTGATTATTGTGTGTATTACATTCATTTTTTTTCCCTGCAGATGATTTGTGAGCAGATGTTAGGCTCCCGGTGCTCTGATCGGTCACTATGGTAAGTAAACTTGTCATGACTCCAGCCCTAATGGAGCGTATAGATTCTAGGGGAAGTCGGAAGAAAATGAAGAAACAAAAAAAACATTTACACAAAAAAGGAAAACCATATGAAAGATAGTAACAGAGTAACAGAAGAGTCTTAACTTTAAGTTTAGGGAAGGTCCCATGAGAAACGGATGTTCTGTTTGAGACCTGAGGATGGGCGGGAAGGGACCGAATGAAGTTACCACGTGCTGAGGAGTTACTATCATATGTTGGGTTGTTTTTTTTTTTCATTGTATTTATTTTAGAGAGAAAGAGAGAGAGATAGAGAGCAAGCAAGGGTAGGGGCAGAAGGAAAGAGAGAGAGAGAGAATCCTAAGCAGCCTCTACCCTCAGCACGGTGCCCGATGCAAGGCTCGATCTCATGACCCTGGGATCATGACCCGAGCTGAAATCAAGAGTCGACGATCAACCTACTGAGCCACCCAGGTGCCCCTAATATGTCAGCTTTTAAAACATGTTAGCTTTCATATAATTACAACTATTGTGTGTTTAGTGTGCTGTTGCTCATATAGACTCCAGCTTATTTCAAAATATGTGTCCATCCATGTAGTATATACACATACATACATCTATTACAAATATGTGTATCTTAGAAGTTCTTAGGCCTGATCGCTGTGCTTCTTTTTCTTCCTTAACCTCCACTGGGGCTGATATGTGGAAGGCAAGGTAAAGATTTAGGAAGGCACTAGAGAGGAATATAGGAAAAATCACTCCGTATCTCTAATAGTTTCCTCAGTTATATATATATATATATATATATAAACCAAAGGTCTAACAAATGCATATCTGTAGAGCGAATCCATGTCTACTTATTATTTAAGGAAAATCGATTTCTGAAGGGAGGAGAGAAGAATTCCAGCATTCTACAGACTGTCACAATGACAGGCCACCTCTTGGTGTCTCAGCTGGCATGCCACTTTCCTTCCAGGTACAGAAGGAAGGATTGTCACCAGTACCTTAGGGTCCGATTTTCCTCTAACTTGCTCTCCATCAGGAAACACTTGTCCACCATTAGTCCTTGGGAACCACATCCAGGTACTGAATTCATGTCTTTTTATTTAATTTCTGTCTTTCCCGTTCCCCTCAACTATTCCTCAGTTCTACTTCTTACTCCCAGCTCTCATTTATGCATCCTCGCTGAATGCACTGATTTCATACAACACGCACGCAGCACGTGGGACGATTAAACCAGGATATACAGTTGTCTTTTTTTCCCAATTTTCCTTTAATACGCTTTGATTGTCTGCATGCCCCTTACCATCCCCTGCAACCACATTCAATTCTAAAGAAACAGAATTGGTTAGTTGATAAGTAACTTGGATTAGAGTGACCAGCAATTTCTGGATCCAAAGAAAACACTTTGCATTTGAAACCCCTCTTTTTATAGTTCACCTAAGGTTTTTTTTTTTTAATTTTACTTTTTTTTTTTTTTTTGAGACAGAGAGATAGAATGAGAGAGCGTGAGCAGGGGAGGGGAGAAGAGAGAGGGAGAAAGAGAATCCCCAGCAGGCTCCACACTGTCAGCGCAGAGCCCGACATGGGGCTCGAACTCACGAACCGGGAGATCACGACATGAGCCCAAACCAAGAGTTGGATGCTTAACTGACTGAGACACCCAGGTGTCCCAGATTTTTTCCTTTTTTCCTGATCGACATCTAAGATAGATCTGGGAGCTATGGTAGGCATGATACACAATTTGCTCTAAAACCTTGCTGGCAGATTTACTGTAAAACCATTTGATAACACAGGCCTGGATAAAATCGGGTGTGTCTTCCCTCTCTTTCTTTCCATATTTAATACTATATTTGTAGCACCGTTTGTTATAAGTTCGTGCCACAGGAGTCAATATACATGCTGAAAGAAGAAATAAGACCTAGATCTCTCTCTCTTTCTCTCTTTGTCAGAGTTCAAATTTTCACTGTTTCTTAAACAAAAGGTATCAGGTAGCCTCTGTTGAAATGGGAAAATGCCCAGGACTTTGTAGCTGCTGGGAAATGAAAACAGGAGTGAAGTCTCATGAGCCCCCACACAAGACTAGGGAGGAAACTGTAACTTCACAGAAATAAGTCTGTGGCCAATTTATTCACATCAGGCCCCTGTTCCTACAACCCATCAGTCTCTGTGAATCAGCCATTTCACATCTTTAGAAAAGGTACAGATCAAATCCCAGTCCACCCAAGCATTGTTATTTATGACCTGAGGACGCAGGCCAGGAGTCCAGAAGAATATTAACATTTACCAGGCATCAGGGGGCTGGGCTTGGAAAATAACTTTCCAGTGAAGTCAGTCCATTTCCTGGGCGCTGGCGTTATTACTCACATTGAAGTCTACAATACGAATTTCAGGTCTTTTTATCAATGTACAGGCTTTGATCGGAGACTCGTAACATGGCTTTAAACTCACTCCATTTGTCTGGGAGATTCTTAAAGCTGTTCTTTCTCTTACCTGGCTTTTGAGAATTTTCAGGATGGCCCCTTAGTAAGAGCCTCAAATCGCTCTCCAGAAATCTTCCCCTCCTTAGCCTCTGGTTTTCTAGTGGGCCATTCCTCAGCTCTCTGTTCAATTCCCATAACCCCTGAAGATGTCCTCTTGGGTCAGAGCCAAAGAGCTTCCAGGAGAAACGTCTCTGGTCTGCAAGTAACACACACATCATCTCTGGCCCACACCACTGCCAGCGCGCTTCACACCCACACTGTGGGGTCCCCAGCACACATCCCTGATGGACCTCTGCAGCCTTCCCTGCTGAGCCTGCACAGAGCTTCTGGATACCTCTCCACACACCTACCTCTTTAGGCAGCCATGACTAGGAAGCAGATGAAGCCTCCTGAACCCTGGTCTTTTGGGAAAAGTCTGGGTTGTGACCCACACTACATTCCCAGAGCTGGCCGGTAAGGAACAGTGTCACTTTTGACATCTAAGCAAAAGAATGGAGCAGGCCTACCAAAAAGTGAAACGAAGCCAGCTCTAAAACTGCTTTGAAAATAAAAGGAATATAAGACGAATCCAGGTCAGTTGGGTATAAAGTAAAAATATTAAAGGTGAGGGGGGCTTGGGGGGCTCAGTCGGTTAAGAGTCCGACTTCAGCTCAGGTCATGATCTCAGGTTTTATGGGTTCGAGGCCTGTGTTGGGCTCTGTGCTGACAGCTCAGAGCCTGGAGTTTGGAGCCTGCTTTGAATTTGTGTCTGTCTGTCTGTCTGTCTGTCTCTCTCTCTCTGTCTCTCAAAACTAAATAAACATTAAAAAAAATATTAGAGGAGAGATTAGAATAAATCTCTTCTCCTAGAGGAAAAATAGTGAAATGTCATGAGTGATAGCTGATAGGTGCCATTACACAGCTTCCCGGTTCTGAGCATGGGCTCTGGAGTCAAGGTCCCCTTGGGTGGATCCAGTGTCACCACATTATGACTCAGTAATGTTACTACTCAGTAACTCAGGCAAGTTACCCACCCTCTCTGAGCCTCAACTGCCTCATGAGTTAAAGGGATATAATCATGGAAACCGTCTGATAAGGTTGTTGTGAAGATTCAACAATTCTTGTAAAGCTCTTACATGGTGTCGAACCTAATGGGAGCTCAGTAAGTACTGACTTTCATCATTATTTTTCATGCCTACTTTAAAATGAATGTTCACCATCCTTCACAAGCCTGCTCCCATCTTGCTGCCCGCCCCCCCCAACCCCCGGGAGGTACGCGTCCCTCTACTTGCTCTTGAGGATTCGTTCTCTTGTTGTCACCATTCACCAACACGCCTGTCATCTCCAGGGGGCTGCTAATTCTTTGAGTTCAAGGTGTAAGTTTCACGTACCTTCGCCTTCCTGCACGTCCACCTCCTAGCCTAAATCTGTGCCTTGCATTGAATAGACAGATGCTGAGCCAGATAAGACCCATTAAGGGAAGCCTTTCCTCCCACATCACAGAGCCGAAGAACAGAAAGTTAAGAGAAAAATAAATGTCCTACCACGGTAGTGTAGTATTTCATAAGCAAGTTATCTAACCTCAGTTTCCCATTCTGAAAAATAGAGATTGTTATTGTATTGAGGCACTGAAATTATTGCACTCGTTAAATAAACCACTACGTGCAAAGTGCTTTGGGCAGTGCCTTTCACATGGTGAACCACACGTGTAGCCTATTGCTGGTATCATTATTGTTGCATGGAAGGAAATTTTGGCTGTCAT